AAGGAAACTCCATACTATTCTCCATAGTGGCTCTATCAGTTTACATTGCAAACAACGGCATAGAAAGTTTCCCTTCTCTCCACACCCTCTCCAGCATTTATTGTTTGTAGATTGTTTAATGGTGGCCAGACTGACCTGTATGAAGTGATCTCTCGTTGTAGTTTTGACCTGCATTTCTCTAATAATGAGTGATGTTGAGCATCTTTTCATGTGTTTGCTGGCCATCTGTATGTTGTGAACATATTTAAAATCGCATTTGCCCATGATGCACTTCAGCAAACCACTCATATGATATAATCTTAAGTGCTGCAGTAACTAATATTTTGAAGGCTTATTTATAAAAAGGGGTATTAAAACAATAGAAGGGATTTACCCAATTACATCACATCTGCAAAGATATTTTAACATCCTCTTAAAAAGCACCAAGGGAAATAAAGGTTCTAGCATTATTTTCTACAAAATGGCAGGTATTCCTGTCAATCTTGGATTTTCACTATAATCTCTGCTCTGTTCATTCTTTGGATTCTGGTATGACTCACAAGTTTGGGTGACAGAACCTGCCTTCACCAGTCCTGATGCCTCAGAACCCATAACAATTACCTGGCCTCCCATTCTCCCTGCTGTCTGTCCCTAGCCCCTTTGCCCCAGTTGGCTCAATTTTTTGCCAATCATCTCTCCTCCTTCTCTGGACTATCCTTTGGATTGAAGCTCTGTGAATATTAGTGCATGTCTTGGTTAAACCTGAATTCATGAAACAGTTTTTGGATCCTAAATGTTAAAAGATTATCTGGTTATCCCTAGCATAAGCAAACTGGACAGAACAGATAATTCCACAAGGACTTACATTTATTATCCTGACTTAAAAAATTAAGCTAATCATTTGTCACATTCCACAGTACTTGAGGAAACTACTTGGAGTTCATCTTCCTAAATTTGATTACTTCAATAAATGAGCATAGCAAATGCATTAAAATTTATTTCTGTAACTTAAAGACATCAAGAAATACATGTTAGATATTCCAAAGAGGTATTTGGCTTCCCTGGTGGTGTGGGGTTAGTTTTGACTTCATACTGGATCTGCTATGATTTTTCCAGTAGTCATGTGCAACTGTGAGACTTGGAACATGAAGAAGGCTGAGTGCTGAAGAACTGATGCTTAACTGATGCTTGAAGATTGGTGCTGGAGAAGACGCTTAAGAGTCCCTTGGACAGTAAGGAGATCAAACCGGTCAATCCTAAAAGAAATCAACCCTGAATGTTCATTGGAAGGACTGATGCTGAAGCTGAAACTCCAAAACTTTGGCCAGCTGACTCATTGGGAAAGACTCTGATGCTGTGAAAGATTAAGGGCAGGAGGGGAAGGAGGCAACAGAGGATGAGATGGTTGGATGGCATCACTGCCTCCATGGACCTGAGTTTGAGCAAACTCTGGGAGATGGTGAAGGACAGGGAAACATGGTGTGCTGCAGTCCATAGGGTCGCGAAGAGTCGGACGTGACTGAACAAGAACAACTGGATCTGCTTCTGTGACTTTAACCTTTATCTTTTGCCACTTCTGTTATTACAGGCAAACATAATTGCCCGCCTCAGGGAGATAACCTGGCCCTGCCTCCCTGTGAAGGACTGTGGCATTCTTTGTCTATGGATAGGGAAGGAAATATTCCATTTCACACCACCTGTGAGATGGCTGTAAGGAAGTGAAACTAGCACATCTCCCATTCTAGGAGATATTCGCAAGAATTAAATGGTCTTTTTAGTTTGTTTCCTCACCTCCCGTCTATCTCTGATTCATTGAAAGACCTGGTAACCAGTACCAGATAAGGCGATTTTTTTTTTTTTTTTGAGACTTTAGTCGGCCATCTTTTCAGTCACCCTACTCTCCAAATAAAGTCATATTCCTTGCCTCAACATCTCCTCTCTCAGATTTATCAGCCTCTCGAGCAGCAAGCAGAGTAAACTTGAACTCGGCAACAGTGGCTCAGCAGTAAAGAATCTGCCTGCCGATGCAGGAGATATGGGTTCCATCCCCAGATCCGGAAGATCCCCTGGAGAAGGAAATGCCAGCCCACTCCAGTATTCTTGCCTGGGAAGTCCCATGGACAGAGGAGCCTGGCGGGCTACGGTCCATGGTGTCTCAAGAGTCGAACAGAACTTGGCGACAAAACAACAGCAACAACAATAATGAGATATTTAGGATATTAAAGACTCCGTTCCTTAGTTTGATAACGTGTCTCCATTTTAACTGTTACTATACTTATGTTCTGACTTCAGCTTTAAGTTAAAATCATTTACAAGTCAGAAATGAGAGGCTGTGTTAGCTTCAACTTTTTTAAAAGTGCAGAACCAAATGAACTAATGACCCAATGATGCAGAATGGAATTTAAGAACTGATGAAGAGATGTTAATGCTGCAAGGGAACAAATTCTGCCACTCCCAAATGTGTCTCTTTGGCATAAGGATTTAGACGGAAAGAAACAGAAGACTTGGGAAGTTTTTCTTGTTATACTTCCCCTTAACTGCCTAAAAGAATTTGGATGAAGGGCCTAGTCCCAGAATAGAGCTGTCACCAGAGAGATCTGCAAATAGGGACTAAGTGTGATGGGGGAAACTTGGCAGGGTCTGGACATCAGAGTCTGGACAGTGAAACCACTCTGTGTTCCGCTGTCTCCACGTAAACCAGCACGCATTTATTTACCAAACATTTGCCTTCCCCCCTCTATGTGAGTTACCTTCCTCCCCTTTGAAGTCACAAACCACTGCCCCCAACATCCTCTTTTGTCTTTAGCTGAAGATTATATTTAAGCTTTAATATTTAAGGATTTCAGCTATTTTTGGTGAATTACTCAGTCTTCCTGGGCCACTTCCATGCATACATACTATTAAATTTCTGTCTTATTTTGTCTTATTAACCTATCTTGATGGGGAGAGAGTAAAGGGACAAAGTAGGTAATTAAATAGTTAATCCAGTAGGGGATTGTATGTAGAAAAATATATGGGAGACCCCTGTAAGTTAACGGTGACTCCTGAAAGCAGGTTGGTTTAACCACAAAACCAAGCAGGCTTGCTTAGCAACAAAACCAGGCAGCAGAAGTACCAGCGCTGCCCCAGACAATAAAACAATGGTGGCGTGAGCCCCACACCCTGCCCTTACTGAGCTCAGTAAGTGAACGGTCCCTAGGACGTGCTCTCTACACACATCAAGGACAATGCGTTGTGAGTTTAGCTTGACCATGTGGGGACAAGAAGACTCCCTTGCCCAACCTGGAGGAGGAGCTGATAATGGAAGCATGACGTCTACTCAAGAAAGGCAAAGGAGGTCTTCTCCCCCTCCCCACTTTTCCTTTGATTATAAAACTGTAGCCCACTGAGTTCTCGGGCGTGGCATCCCCTTGCTCAGCTGCTTGTAAGCCTCACAAGCATCCTGTTCTAGTAAATCACTTCTTATCTATTGCTTCTAGCTGGATTCATTCTATACTGACATAAAGGACTGCGGTGCTGGAGCTCTTTGGTCCCCCTCCCCGCCACCCCCAAACAACACTCGGCGGCTTCAGATGGCAACCACTGCAGGGCCCTGGTAAGACAAGAAGGTCTGGGGTGGGGTCCCAGAAGAGCCCTGGCATGCCACGAGCCAGGAATATCCGGGAAGATGCTCCACCAATAGCTGTCCCTTTTAGACAGGCTGCCCTGGAGACGGCATGGCAACCCACTCCACTGTTCTTGCCTGGAGAATCCTATGGACAGAGGAGCCTGGTGGGCTACAGCCTGTGGGGTCACAAAGGAGGCCCACTGAGAGACTGACACTTCACTTCACTTTCACTTAGACGAGCCGATCAATCCCGGAGGCTCTGGGGCTCTGATCGGGTGCCTGAGAACAGGCCAGGTGGGTGATGATACGGAGCCTGAAGACAGAGAGCTGGAGGATCGACTGCAGTCAGTACGAGTGGCCCCGGGAAGAGGACGTGGATCTTCAGAGACGCGGGCGGGGTCCCACTGCTGAGGAGGCGACAGGGGAACTGGTGTGTAAAAAGGGGGAGTCTGCTGTTCGGGCTGCTCCTGACAGGATGTGTCCGTCTACACCCCTCAGTTCTGAGACTTTTCTCCTACACTGTACAGCCATCCCCGAGTGTTTCTCCCAAGGGGTCTCGCCTTTCGAGATGGCCCACACTCTGTCTCTGGACTGTGTTTTCCCTCTAGAAAGATCCACTTCTTGCCGATAACTCTGTCTCTCACTGAACCCTTTCTGTGATGAGACATCGAGAAACCTGAGCTTCCTGAAGTCCCAAGCTGGTTTTGCCTGGTTTCAAGGCCCAGTCTGGGTTTTGGCTGTGTTCTAGTCCCCGCTGCGTGGGAGGCTGAGGAAGAAAAGCTGTAATGAAGCAGACAGCGCCATGAAACCTAAGATGGCTGCGTGGCTCGCCCGACTCCCTGACAAACTCCATTTCATTACGTGGGTTAAGGCCCTCCTTGGCTACAAAGCTGATACGTTCACAATAAAAATGAATGGTTAGAAATGTCTGTTTGCTTTTTTCACTTGGAATATACTTTTTACAGTTTTTAGTAACCAAGGTAACTATGTTATTGGACAGATTATACACGCCTATGTGATCAATTAACCAGATTTATTTTATAAATTAATCTTAATTTGGCTATATTTGGTAAAGATGAGGATAATCTTAGAGAAAAAATTATATTTTAAAAGATATTCAATTTTGAAGATCCCCTGGAGAAGGAAATGCCAGCCCACTCCAGTATTCTTGCCTGGGAAGTCCCATGGACAGAGGAGCCTGGCGGGCTACGGTCCATGGTGTCTCAAGAGTCGAACAGAACTTGGCGACAAAACAACAGCAACAACAATAATGAGATATTTAGGATATTAAAGACTCCGTTCCTTAGTTTGATAACGTGTCTCCATTTTAACTGTTGCTGTACTTATGTTCTGACTTCAGCTTTAAGTTAAAATCATTTACAAGTCACAAATGAGAGGCTGTGTTAGCTTCAACTTTTTTAAAAGTGCAGAACCAAATGAACTAATGACCCAATGATGCAGAATGGAATTTAAGAACTGATGAAGAGATGATAACGCTGCAAGGGAACAAATTCTGCCACTCCCAAATGTGTCTCTTTAGCATAAGGATTTAGACGGAAAGAAACAGAAGACTTGGGAAGTTTTTCTTGTTATACTTCCCCTTAACTGCCTAAAAGAATTTGGATGAAGGGCCTAGTCCCAGAATAGAGCTGTCACCAGAGAGATCTGCAAATAGGGACTAAGTGTGATGGGGGAAACTTGGCAGGGTCTGGACATCAGAGTCTGGACAGTGAAACCACTCTGTGTTCCGCTGTCTCCACGTAAACCAGCACGCATTTATTTACCAAACATTTGCCTTCCCCCCTCTATGTGAGTTACCTTCCTCCCCTTTGAAGTCACAAACCACTGCCCCCAACATCCTCTTTTGTCTTTAGCTGAAGATTATATTTAAGCTTTAATATTTAAGGATTTCAGCTATTTTTGGTGAATTACTCAGTCTTCCTGGGCCACTTCCATGCATACATACTATTAAATTTCTGTCTTATTTTGTCTTATTAACCTATCTTGATGGGGAGAGAGTAAAGGGACAAAGTAGGTAATTAAATAGTTAATCCAGTAGGGGATTGTATGTAGAAAAATATATGGGAGACCCCTGTAAGTTAACGGTGACTCCTGAAAGCAGGTTGGTTTAACCACAAAACCAAGCAGGCTTGCTTAGCAACAAAACCAGGCAGCAGAAGTACCAGCGCTGCCCCAGACAATAAAACAATGGTGGCGTGAGCCCCACACCCTGCCCTTACTGAGCTCAGTAAGTGAACGGTCCCTAGGACGTGCTCTCTACACACATCAAGGACAATGCGTTGTGAGTTTAGCTTGACCATGTGGGGACAAGAAGACTCCCTTGCCCAACCTGGAGGAGGAGCTGATAATGGAAGCATGACGTCTACTCAAGAAAGGCAAAGGAGGTCTTCTCCCCCTCCCCACTTTTCCTTTGATTATAAAACTGTAGCCCACTGAGTTCTCGGGCGTGGCATCCCCTTGCTCACCTGCTTGTAAGCCTCACAAGCATCCTGTTCTAGTAAATCACTTCTTATCTATTGCTTCTAGCTGGATTCATTCTATACTGACATAAAGGACTGCGGTGCTGGAGCTCTTTGGTCCCCCTCCCCGCCACCCCCAAACAACACTCGGCGGCTTCAGATGGCAACCACTGCAGGGCCCTGGTAAGACAAGAAGGTCTGGGGTGGGGTCCCAGAAGAGCCCTGGCATGCCACGAGCCAGGAATATCCGGGAAGATGCTCCACCAATAGCTGTCCCTTTTAGACAGGCTGCCCTGGAGACGGCATGGCAACCCACTCCACTGTTCTTGCCTGGAGAATCCTATGGACAGAGGAGCCTGGTGGGCTACAGCCTGTGGGGTCACAAAGGAGGCCCACTGAGAGACTGACACTTCACTTCACTTTCACTTAGACGAGCCGATCAATCCCGGAGGCTCTGGGGCTCTGATCGGGTGCCTGAGAACAGGCCAGGTGGGTGATGATACGGAGCCTGAAGACAGAGAGCTGGAGGATCGACTGCAGTCAGTACGAGTGGCCCCGGGAAGAGGACGTGGATCTTCAGAGACGCGGGCGGGGTCCCACTGCTGAGGAGGCGACAGGGGAACTGGTGTGTAAAAAGGGGGAGTCTGCTGTTCGGGCTGCTCCTGACAGGATGTGTCCGTCTACACCCCTCAGTTCTGAGACTTTTCTCCTACACTGTACAGCCATCCCCGAGTGTTTCTCCCAAGGGGTCTCGCCTTTCGAGATGGCCCACACTCTGTCTCTGGACTGTGTTTTCCCTCTAGAAAGATCCACTTCTTGCCGATAACTCTGTCTCTCACTGAACCCTTTCTGTGATGAGACATCGAGAAACCTGAGCTTCCTGAAGTTCCAAGCTGGTTTTGCCTGGTTTCAAGGCCCAGTCTGGGTTTTGGCTGTGTTCTAGTCCCCGCTGCGTGGGAGGCTGAGGAAGAAAAGCTATAATGAAGCAGACAGCGCCATGAAACCTAAGATGGCTGCGTGGCTCGCCCGACTCCCTGACAAACTCCATTTCATTACGTGGGTTAAGGCCCTCCTTGGCTACAAAGCTGATACGTTCACAATAAAAATGAATGGTTAGAAATGTCTGTTTGCTTTTTTCACTTGGAATATACTTTTTACAGTTTTTAGTAACCAAGGTAACTATGTTATTGGACAGATTATACACGCCTATGTGATCAATTAACCAGATTTATTTTATAAATTAATCTTAATTTGGCTATATTTGGTAAAGATGAGGATAATCTTAGAGAAAAAATTATATTTTAAAAGATATTCAATTTTAGTGTTGCCACTGGAGGTCCATATCTACTGATTAAAACTCACTTTTGAAATAGCTCTGTTATTATGTTATACTGTTGTAAAATTTAATTGAGTTATTAAGAAGATATTCTAAACTTGTTTCTAAAGCACATGACTATAATATATCTTTAGATAAAGACTAAATGCTTACAATCTATAATCAGGGGATCTATCAGTATGTTTTAAAAAAAAATCATTTGAATGATCTCTCACCTAGATTGAAAAAAGCAAAAAAACCTCTTATCAGGTACTCTTAAACAACCATGGCCAAGAAAACCGAGGGGAATCAACTTCCAGCACTCAACGTTGTTCTTGTTATTTAGTCCCTAACTTGTGTCTCTTTTGTGACCCCATGGAATGTAGCCCGCCAGGCTCTGCGTCCATGGGATTTCCCAGGCAAGAATACTGGAGTGGGTTGCCGTTTCCTTCTCCAGGGGATCTTCCCGACCCAGGGATCAAACCAACGTGTACTACTGGGCAGGACTATTCTTTACCACTGAGTCACCTGGGACGCCCTAAGACTTAAGGTGCTTTTCTTCTAGTTACTAAACGTGCCCAACAGAGGACTTCCTGAGCTCTGATGTCAGTCTTCCCCTCCTTCCAACCCTTACAAGCGCTCACCCTTTATATCCAATTTGCAGCCAGACCATCTCTTGCTCATTGTCACCACCACTGAGTCGCCTTCTGTACAGTTTCTTTGTGGCAGTTTCTCAGGCGTTAACATCTGGTTGGGAGACTACTTTGGAAGCGATAATATCTAAAGCTGTAAGTTCAAATCTTGATTAAATTGCATGGTGAATTTTGCCATGAAAGGAAACTTTGGGACAGCTAACTATTGCTCCAGTGAAAGCTACTGTATCCGTAAAGATGGCCGCTCCAAGGGCTATCTCCCGAGTGGGAGCTGAGACCCTGGTCGGGGGTATTACACCGGAACCCGTGCTGACCAAAGGGCAGCCTGAGCCCAAGAGGGCCATAAGTCTACCAGGGAGAGCAATGCTGTCCCGAGGCAGAGCCACAGTGGAATTGCCACGTACATTTTGTTGGTAGTGACAGATGGGACCATGTGATTAATTATTTAACAGAAGGTAGAGGACAGCTTAGAGCTTCCAAGGTGGCTCAGTGGTAAAGAGCCTGCCTGCCAAGCAAGCGATGCAGTTTTCATTTTTGTTCTGGCTATACCAGGTCTTAGTTGCAGCATGGGAACTCCTAGTTGCAGAACAAAGGATCCAGTTCCCAGGCCAGGGATTGAACCTGGGCCCCCTGAATTAGGAGCACAGAGTCTTACCCACTGGACCACCAAGGAAGTCCCAGAAGATGCAGTTTCAATCCCCTGAGTCAGAAAGATCCCCTCAAAGAAGGAAATGGAAACCCACTCCAGTATTCTTGCCTGGGAAATCCCAGGGATAGAGGAGCCTAACAGAATAAACAGTTCATGCAGTTGAAAAAAGTCAGATCCAACTTAGTGACTAAACAACAAAACAACAACAATAAAAAAAAAAAAACTTACAGTTGAGCCCGTCAGTTATGAAAAAGTGAAAAAAGTCCACAGGGACCAGATGAACATCCTGCAGTTTTTGAAATGAGACTAATGGAAGCTTTTAAAAAATAAGTAAATGTGGATCCCTCCTCTCCAGAGGGCAGGCCCTTTCAGCTGTACATTTCATACCCAGTCTGCCCCGGGGAATCAGGCACAAAATTCAAAAAGTGACGGCCAGTCCTCAGACTCCTGTGCTGGATTTGCTGATACTGGCTTATTCGGTTTTCAGTAATAGGGATATGGTCAGAAAGGCTAAATGCACCCAGAGAGATAAGCAAAAAAGCCCAAATGATGACAACAGTCTTGTCCACTCGAAGACCACCTAAGAGGAAGCCGACTTCTCCAGGCCGGTTTGGCTGTGATAAGCCACAAGGCCCGTGGGTACACAGGTGCATCCTCTGCAAACAACCAAGACACTGGGAGAGGGAATGCCCCCAGGTGCCAGACAGCAGTGGGGCACCCTCAGCCTTTGATGGTTTTGCAAGCGGAGACTGACAGGGCCCAAGGCGAGGAGTGGCTCTGCCTGGAGATACCATCTACATCACTAGTGCCCAGACCTGGGTGGTCANATGCTGCAAGGGAACAAATTCTGCCACTCCCAAATGTGTCTCTTTGGCATAAGGATTTAGACGGAAAGAAACAGAAGACTTGGGAAGTTTTTCTTGTTATACTTCCCCTTAACTGCCTAAAAGAATTTGGATGAAGGGCCTAGTCCCAGAATAGAGCTGTCACCAGAGAGATCTGCAAATAGGGACTAAGTGTGATGGGGGAAACTTGGCAGGGTCTGGACATCAGAGTCTGGACAGTGAAACCACTCTGTGTTCCGCTGTCTCCACGTAAACCAGCACGCATTTATTTACCAAACATTTGCCTTCCCCCCTCTATGTGAGTTACCTTCCTCCCCTTTGAAGTCACAAACCACTGCCCCCAACATCCTCTTTTGTCTTTAGCTGAAGATTATATTTAAGCTTTAATATTTAAGGATTTCAGCTATTTTTGGTGAATTACTCAGTCTTCCTGGGCCACTCCCATGCATACATACTATTAAATTTTTGTCTTATTTTGTCTTATTAACCTATCTTGATGGGGACAGAGTAAAGGGACAAAGTAGGTAATTAAATAGTTAATCCACTAGGGCATTGTACGTAGAAAAATATATGGGAGACCCCTGTAAGTTAATGGTGACTCCTGAAAGCACATTGGTTTAACCACAAAACCAAGCAGGCTTGCTTAGCAACAAAACCATGCAGCAGAAGTACCAGCGCTGCCCCAGACAATAAAACAATGGTGGCATGAGCCCCACACCCTGCCCTTACTGAGCTCAGTAAGTGAGCGATCCCTAGGACGTGCTCTCTGCACACATCAAGGACAATGCGTTGTGAGTTTAGCTTGACCATGTAGGGACAAGAAGACTCCCTTGCCCAACCTGGAGGAGAAGCTGATAATGGAAGCATGACGTCTACTCATGAAAGACAAAGAAGGTCTTCTCCCCCCCTCCCCACTTTCCTTTCAGTTACAAAACTGTAGCCCACTGAGTTCTTGGGAATCTGTTTATAAGCCTCAGTTCAGTTCAGTCGCTCAGTCATGTCCGACTCTTTGCAACTCCATGGACTGCAGCACACCAGGCCTCCCTGTCCATCACCAACTCCCAGAGTTTACTCAAACTCATGTCCATTGAGTCGGTGATGCCATCCAACCATCTCATCCTCTGTCATCCCCTTCTCCTCCTGCCTTCAATCTTTCCCAGTTCTTCACATAAGAAGAACTTATGTGAATAAGTCAGTGGCCAAACTATTGGAGTTTCAGCTTCAGCATCAGTCCTTCCAATGAATATTCAGGACTGGTTTCCTTTAGGATGGACTGATGGGATCACTCAGCTTTCTTTATAGTCCAACTCTCACTTCCATACATAACTACAGGAAAAAGGTCCTATTCTAATAAATCACTTATCTATCCCTTTGCTTCTTGCTGAATTCTTTCCACACTGAGACATAAAGGACTATGGTGTTGGAGCTCTTCAGAGCCCCTGGGAATGGCACCCAACGTTTCAGCCTCATGTCGGTTTCATTCTTGGAACAGCCAGAAGGACTTAGAAGGAAAGGGAAAACTTTCTTCCTCTCTGACAGGGTTAAAGTACCCAAACTAAGAAAGAATTTGAACAGAAAGTGTCTCCATACTCTTCCCTTTATAGAGGTTCTGTTCTCTCTGTCTCTCTTCTCCTCCCCCCGTCTCTTACCCAGGCAGCCATCCTGTACACCAACTGTTCTCAAAACTTTCGGGCGTCAAAACCACTTGGAGGGCTTTTTATAATACATATCTCTGAGCTCCAGCCGCAGAACTTCTGACTCCCTGGGCCTGGGGTGGGACTGAGAACCATAATTCTCAGACATTCAGATATGACATTAACGCTGCTAATCCAAGAAGCACACTTGGAGAAGTATTGGTGCAAATGGATCCCGGGGAGCTTTGTCATAATGTAGACACCAGGTAAAATTTTATCTGAAAACTTAATATTCCCCTCCAACCCAAGTAATACATTTGCATCTTTAGAAAGGAAGCCTGATGATAAAACTTTCATTTGTGCATACTAAGTCCTTCAGTCGTGTCCAACTCTTTGTGACCCCATGGACTGTAGCCTGCCAGGCTCCTCTGTCCATGGGATTTTCCACGCAAGAACACTAAGTCCTTCAGTCGTGTCCAACTCTTTGTGACCCCATGGACTGTAGCCTGCCAGGCTCCTCTGTCCATGGAATTCTCCAGGCAAGAACACTGCGTGGGTGGCCATGCCCTCCTCCAGGGGATCTTCCCGTCCTAGGGATTGAACCTGTATTTCTTAAGTCTCCTGCTTCAGCAGGTGGATTTTTTTTTTTTACCACTAGTGCCACCTGAAAGCCTAAACTTTGAAAGCCTAAAACTTTCAAAACCCCTCTAATGAAAGTTATCTTATAGTTACCTTTTAGCCCCCCTGACAAGTAATGAGGAAAATATTTCTGCTAGTCAAAGGCTTAACAAATATTTGTTGAATTATGCATTTTAGATCAAACGTGTGGTCTTAAAATGTGCATTCCAATCTCAGACCATAACCAGAGATGCAAGAAATAAAATATTCTTTATCTTTCTGTAACTCAACTAAAATTCCATTTTAACACTTCATTCTATGAAACTGGTGGACGCTTGCTCACAGTCATTTCAGGATCTTACCTCTTCTTCCTCTGGATTCCATTTGTATTTATTATACTCTGCTAGGACTGCCATAACAAAGTGGCGTCTATTTTCTCACGATTCTAGAGACTGAAGTCCAGGATCAAGGTGTTGGTAGGGCTGGTTTCTCCTGACAAGGTGTTGGTAGGGCTGGTTTCTCCTGAGGTCTCTCCCCTCAGCATGCAGATGGCCACCTTCTCGCCCTGTCCTCACCCGCTCTTTCCTTTATGCATGTGCATCCCTGGAGTCTCTTTGTGAGTCCAAATCTCTCTTCTTATAAGGACACCACCAATCAGATTGGATTAACAGTTTTATCTCTGCTTAATCACCTCTTTAAAGAGCCTATCCCAAATACAGTCACATTATGAAGTACTAGGGAGTAGGACCTCAACATATGGATTTTGGCAGAGAGACGGGGGTTGAATGTCGGCCTGTAACACCATGTAGGAACCGGGGAGTTTGTATGCTGCTAAAGCTGGAGGGATTTAGCTCAACCCTTGAGCCTCGTGGTTGCCCTCTGCCCATGCTGGCCTCTCCTAGGATGTCCGCACACCCTCCTGGTCAGCAGCAGTTAGCCCATGCAGGACTCAGCAGGGTTGTCTGCTGTCAGGGGCAGCCAGGCTCCTTCTGTGGCCCACTGGAAGCATCAAGGGGAGGCCGATGCTGTCCATTACTCGAGTGGTCCTCACGTGCCTGGCCTGTGCTGTGCCGGGCACCGGGGAGCTTGGTGCTGCTGGCTCAGGCTGCCACGCATGTCATCTGGAGACAGCCTCCCATCTGGACTTCCCCCTGCACGTGAGAGGCAGGCACCCTCCTCCCCAGCTCAGCAGAGTCAGCATGGCCCCACCCTACCCCGCCTCAGGGCTGGCAGGGGAGGGGGTTCCGGCAGTCAGGACGCAGGGTTAGGGTCAGGGTTAGTCTGCCACCACGTCTGAACTCTCTCGACTTCCTTTCTCACAGCCCTAAGCCCCAGCCCCACCGGCCAGGAGAAGCCTCTTATCTGTTCTCGGGGGCAGGAGGCTTGGCTTCATCTGAACAGGTTCGCTTCCAAGCAGATTGTCTGCCTCTCGGTCCTTTCGCCCAGTCGTGTTCGACTCTTTGCGACTATAGCCCGCCAGGTTCCTCTGTCTGTGGGATTCTGCAAGCAAGGATACCGGAATGGGCTTCCATTCCCTTTTCCAGGGGATCTTTCCAACCCAGGGATTGAACCCGGGTCTCCTGCATTGCAGGCAGATTCTTTATCCACCAGCCATTCTCCTAGATTGTCTGAATCTTTTGAAACTCAAAACTTAGAATTGTCTTCTCCTCCCCATCCCATATTTTTCAGCTAAGAACTCCTCCTCTTGAGGCAATAAACACTCAAAGTGGCTAATTGAGTGTGTGTGTTGGGGGGGGGGNAGAATGTTCCCTGCCATGTTGAGTTGCGGCTTTGACTGGTGAAATTGCACCAAATGGAAAATGTGGCTACAAAGGACACTTCATCAGCAGATTTGGCTCTTGCACTGTCTGCCCCGTGGAGAAGTTGGAGGCAGGGAGGACCACACTCTCTTCCCGTTTCCCCCCATGGGCAGCCCAAGAGTTCTGCCATAGGCCAGTGCCAGGACTCCATCCTGTGGCTTCAGAAAACCTGGACTTAGTAAAAAGCAGAGTTATTTAAAAGTTCTCAAGACTCTTATAATGTGGAATTGACAAATTTCAACATAGGGCAGCCACAGGTTTTCTCCTAATTAATCAGAAGTGAAAGTTTGTGTTTCTTGTGTTTTTAAACAACATCCGTTTTTTTTTTTTCTTTTGAAGATCAAAATACATAAAAACCTGATGTGGATGTGAAAATAGCATTTCCATAAAAGCAGAAGTGTAGTTTATTTTGGTAAAATAAGAAATTGTGAGTGTCATGAGATACCCATGTATAGAAGCCACAGATAAGTGGATGTGTGAAACCAAACAAAAATTTTGGATTAGTCACAAGTAAATAGAAATCATTGCTTTCATTTTTGTAAAGGCTTAAGGCCAAGCACCGAAGAATTGATGCTTTTAAACTGTGGTGTTGGAGAAGACTCTTGAGAGTCCCTTGGACTGCAAGGAGATCCAACCAGTCCATCCTAAAGGANTTTTCCACTTCAAATTAATTTTGTCCTTATAAAGTAAAATTTTCCCCTTCATTCATAATACAGTTTATTCAGTAGGGTTCAAACGTAATGTTTCTGACTTTTTATTATCTCAAAAGTTCTAGGAGCTAGTTTTACTTCATATCAAATCACTTACAAATTTGGTAGCAACTGTCAACCTTAATATACTACATGAGTTTTCATTGTAATAACCCACATCCTTCTTAAATAAATTTTCAAGTTTCATAAAATTATTGATCTGCCTAAGCCAGTTAAGGGGCTTCCCTGTTAGCCCAGCTGGTAAAGAATTCACCTGCAATGCAGGAGACCCCAGTTTGATTCCTGGGTCAGGAGGATCCCCTGGAGAAGGGATAGGCTGCCCACTCCAGTATTCTGGGGCTTCCTGGTGGCTCAGCTGGTAAAGAATCTGCCTGCAATGTGGGAGACCTGGGCTCGATCCCTGGGTTGGGAAGATCCCCTCCCTGGAAGGGAACGGCTACCCACTCCAGTATTCTTGCCTGAAGAATCAGGAGCCTGTCGGGGGCTCCATGGGGTCCCAAAGAGTTGGACACCACTGAGCAGCTTTCACCTTCAAACCAGTTAGTTGACCTGGTTTTTAACATGGTTTAGCAATCTCTGATAGGCTCTTCTATTCCAAGAGGAAAATCAAAGGAGAAAGTGGTTCTATAATAAAATACTATGTAGCTAATCCCATTAGTACCTTTAAAAAAAAAAAAACTTTACCAAGTTGGCTACTGTGACCCCACCATCATGCCATTAAGAAATGAACACGGTCTTTCTGTGGGTTTCCCCCAGTGACTCAGAAGTAAAAAACATACTGGCCCGCAGTGCAGGAGACAGAGGAGACACAGGTTTGATCCCTGGGTCAGGAAGATACTCTGGAGGAGGAAATGGCAACCCAGCCCAGTATTCCTGCCTGGAAAATCGACTACGCGCACGCACAACGCTCCTTGTACACCCAACCCCCATTCTCTCTACTCTTTTCTCCTAGGATGCTGATCACCCTGATTCCATCTACAAGCTCCTCTCCTGCTTCATACATCCATGTTTCACGCATCCAATGACTCATCCTATCTTTCTGTATCTCTCGGAGTATTTATCCGTTTCGGTGGTGATTATCTCCTTCCCTAAGTGATAAGGCCCTTACGGATTAGAACTAGGTCCTACATATTTCCCAGCACAATGCCCTAGAGTATGATAGATACATGTGTTGACAGATAACTGAAAGAGGGAATGAACAAATGAATGAGATTCTAGCACATATTCTATTAAGTAAATACATATAATATCAGTATACAATTGTAACTAAAACGCAAAGAGAAAAGTGATTTATAAATTAGCCTCCAACTAATAAAAATTAAAAAAAAAATTATATGACAGTAAATAATAAATAAAGCATCTTTAAACATACTTAGGAGACTTCTATTGCTCAAACTTGGATAATATACTTACATTTCATTAAGATGCTGCTTCCTCATTGGTTTATGACGACATAGGAGTTCAGTTTCCTGTCCCCTCAACAACGTTGGTTTCTCTTCTGGGTGCAAGCAGATTTAGCTGACTCCTCGATCGACAGAATCACCATCCCAAGGAACATGGGTAAGTGTAAGATTAAAAAATAAAATTTTAAGTAGCTAACATACTTTTGAATGGTTGTCAGTGATATATGCAACATTTTGTCTAGTTTAGGCTGTATAAATGTGATACTATAAGACAGGGAGACATGAGGATGACATATGGTTTCTCTACTTAGAGTGGTAGTAAAGGATGTCAAAATTTTTGTGTAAAATAGTTAGGTAAAACTATCAAAACACGATAGGGGAATGTTTACGCTCTATTTCCTCTACAGGAAACAGTATATCGACAAACTGAAGATTAAGTGGTTAGGAAGAAACGTACAAACTCCTGGCTATAGAGCTATCTAGCACCACTTTTTCACCAATATAGTGGTCTACCGGTAAGTTTTTATACCATCAGAAATAATGTGAAATTTGAAAATAATATTTCCAGTATTAATGTTTCCCACATTATTAATAAAATTGAAAATAATATTTCCAGTATTAGTTAATAACTTGACTATGACTTGTCTGACACATAGGAGAGTCTTAATAAGTAGCTATTCAACTGATAAGTGAAGGCAAAGGTTTCCTAGAACACGTTTTATCTTATGATCATTGTCATCAATGGTTTGTATTGTTTTAGAGGCTGTGGATGATCTTCTTTAGGCATTAGGTAGAAATTAAAGTCAGAATCAAAACCTTAACCCTGATTTCTCAGCACTGGATCTAAAAGCAATTTCCTCAAAATATGGTTAAAGTAGTGAAAACAGTATCTGAAACGAGGCATGAATGATAAGAACTATGGGTTCCATTTTAATCTGAGATTCACACAGATTAACCTAACAGCTCTCACCTTCCCAGTCTGGTATCACATGTGAAATGTTATTGTGTAAATTTCACTCTGTGGGCCTCTGGCTTCTCCGCTGCGCTCTGGGTAGCTAGCCAAAGATGGTCTCCATCCAGGAGATGTGGGAGGGAACACAGACTCGCAGCGTGGCTGGGCTTGCTAGTGGCTCAGCGGTGAAGAACTCACCTGCCAATGCGGGAGACGCGAGTTCAAGCCCTAGGTCAGGAAGAACCTCTGGAGGAGGAGATGGCAGCTCGCTGCAGGGTTCTTGCCCGGCAAATGCCACGAACAGAGGAGCCTGGCGGGCTCCATGGGGTCTCAGAGGAGTGGGGCCGCACCCACCAGTGTCGTCCGCGCGGTCTCCGAGGACGCGCAGCCCGGGCTCACCATGTCTCAGACTGGGCTCCGCGTGTCATCGCGTGCAGTCCTCACAAGGATTCTATAAAATGGTTGCTGAGCTACACCTGTGAAAACTGAAACAGATAAAGAAACGCACGTGGTCACAAGCCCCCCAAGAACTGTTGAGAGCCTCTGAGTTTCCAGAGCCCACACGACGCAACCACAAACCTCCGAAACCCCCGTCTCTGTGGTCCCACCCAGACGGCACTCAGGACCTGCTTCATCAAACCACGCAGTCTCGCGGCTGTTTTAGCTAAGGCAGATGTTTCTGCAAAGAAAGAGGTGTATTCCACTGAGAATGTTGTGAGTCGGCTCAAAATCATTTTCTCCAGTTGATCCTTATCTTTTTTTCAAGACGCGTTTATCCTCGGCCGCGCTGGCTCTGTCGCCGCGCACGGGCTTTCTCTGGTTGGGGCGAAGGGGGGTCGCGCTCCAGCTGTGAGCACGGCTTCGCCCGGAGGGGCTTCTCTCGTTGGGGAGCGCGGGCGCTCGGTGCGTGGGCTTCGTAGTTGCGGTGGGCAGGCTTAGTTGCCTCTCGGAGTGCGTCATCTTCCGGGACTAGGGTCTGATTCTGGGTCCCCTGGCATCTGTAGGCAGATTCTTAACCGCTGGACCACCAGGAAAGTCCTCCTTAAAAAAAAAAAAAAAAAAAGATGTTTATTTGCTGAGTACCACGGACAAAGGAGGAAGGCGGTCCCTTCCTGCCCATCACCCAGCTCCCCCAGTCCTGCTTCTAAGGAAGAATATTTTCATGGTTTAAATTTCTCCCCCAGACCCATAAGCCTGGTCACGGATATAACGTTGTGAAACCATGAGAATTCCATCCTCGGTAGTCTCCTTAAAAAAAAAAAAAAAAAGATGCTTATTTGCTGAGTACCACGGACAAAGGAGGAAGGGGGTCCCTTCCTGCCCATCACCCAGCTCCCCCAGTCCTGCTTCTAAGGTAGAATATTTTCATGGTTTAAATTTCTCCCCCAGACCCATAAGCCTGGTCACGGATATAACGTTGTGAAACCATGAGAATTCCATCCTTGGTAGCTTATTCTATTCTAGGCATCTCGGACATTTTCCTTCCTCTCTTGTGTTCTTTAGAAGTCTCTCTAATGAGGATCGTGGGGGTCAATGGTCTCAGTGGTAGTTTATCTTCAATCATCCTTATTTGTGCTCTCATTGTAGAATTTCCTTCCACTGAGTAGGCTATTAAAGGATGACATTTTTTTCATAGCAATTTGGAAATACCACTGCCTTCTGGTTTCTGTTATCATTGCTGTTGAAAAGGTCTTGGTTGAAATTTCATCCTTCATAGGTAATCCATTTTTTCTCCCTGGCTCTTCTTTTTGTCTTAGTCTCTGGTGATCTGAAGCTTGATTGCAATGCATGTAAAGAGAGATTTCCATCTCTGGTTTGTTTTTTTTTTTTCCTAATCTTATTTGGGATTTGCTGAGCTTCACAATCTGAGGATGCCTTGTCCTGCATCACTTTCAGACATCCCAGTCAGCATCGTTTCAAACATCGCCTCTCCCCTACTCTCTCCTGTCCTTCGGGAACTTCAGTTATACACGTGCTGACCTTTTCACCATATCCTCCTTATCTCTGTGGTATGGCATTTTCACATCTCTTCAACCCTCGGATAATTCTGTTACTTCTTTAGCTCTACCTTGCAACATACTAATTTTCTCTTCAACTGGAGTTGGTCAGTTGGTTATTCCCTGTGTTGAGTTTTAAATTATTGCAGTTTTTATTTCTGAAAAGACTCTTTCAATCTTTCATATGCTTACTTATCTTTCATTGTCTCTGGATCCTTATTCATATGTTCAGATTTCTTCTTTTATTTCTTTAGCATATTGGGCATACTTGTTTTTGTTGTATATCTATTAATTTCATCTCTAAGGCTCTTGTAGATCCAGGTCTCTTCTTTCCTGTTTGTTTACTGAATCTCACACATAGTAGCTAATTTCTGCCTGTGTCTGTTTTCTTCGTGTGGTAGCAGGATGTGTGCTCTTTTCATCTATTTTTAAAATCGAGTCTCTTTGTATGTGTATGGATGGAGGGCATTTTAATCAGTTCATATTTGTTAGAACCCTATCTGTGAGAATTCTTTAAAGCCTGGGTCAAGGGAGCTCTCCTCAAGGTATAATTTCTATTTGCTTCTTCCAGGACCCTAGTAGACTCCCTTTTCCATCTGGTAAGCCTTTGTTTTAGGTGAATTCATTTTCAAGTTACTTAAGTTACTGTTCTGTTGTGCTTCTATAAATTGCCTTTCATATGTGAGGAAAGGACTAGAATCATAGCATTTCTTAGGAAGGCATTTATACTCCACCCGCGGGTAATCCAGGTGATAGTGTCAAGATTCTTTACATCTCATCACACACAGCCTTTTGATTCCACTTTTTAACCTTAATCACAACATAACCTGTATGTGAAAAAAAATGCACGTATCCAAAGCTCACAGCCTGCTGCATTTTTACAAACTTGTTCATTTTTACAAACCTGTTCAAGCTTGTTACAAGCTTGTTCATGTGCTGCGGTGCTGCGCTGAGTCGCTCGGTCGTGTCTGACTCCTTGTGACCCCGTGGCTGTGGCCCAAGGTTGTTCATAGCAACACTCATATCAAGAAAGGGAACGCCGCTCGGTTCTCAGAAATCCTCCTGGTGCCCTCTTCCTGTCATGACCCAGCCCCTCCCCAAAGGCCGCTGCCTCCTGACTCCTCTTCATCAGGTTTTTACAAAAGCTGAACATTTAATGTGACATTCCACAGGGTTGCTTGCAACAAGGCAGATGGGCTTTGTTGAGAAGAAAGGGACTGCACCAGGTTCCTTCCCACTTCCAGTGGGTCTTACTTACATTTTCTTTATCACCACATTATGAGTGGTGAAACATAATTCATTTCAACTTTAAAACAATTCACAGATGGTTCCTGATCTAAACAATAGACCCTTCAAAATTCAGCTACCTAACTCAAAGTGGTAGCAGGATATTTGCTCCTTTTTAGCCATCTATTCCTAAAACCATATGGGGGGGGGCAATTAAAATGTGTTGCCTCGTAAGTTATGAAAAGGAACACTTTTAACCTTCTGAAGAAAACATGTTGACAAATATAAGGAAACATAAAGACATGCTGTCACTGAGGGTGAGACATGATGTGAGATGATCATCCTCACATGTTTATTTGAAATCCACACAGTTTAATAGAGAATATAAAAGTAATGCCTTTTAGAAAGTTTAGTTATTTTATATCTAGTTTGCAGAAATTATTATTGATGTCATTTTCTTTAATTAGAAGAGCTGTTATAGCTGGAAGACCCAAACCCTAAAAATATTTCAGATTTCTAAAGTATTTATATATATATATAAAGGTAGAAGACAAAGTAGGTAAGAGTCAAGAGACTTTAGAATTACGGTCTAGGATTGCAGCCAAGTTCGACCAAGATCAGACAGGTAACTGGGGGCTAATTGCCTAATACGTTGCTCAATTCGTCTTTGTAATATAAAATTGTAATAAACAGCAGAGTTGTGCAACATGTATTATAACAAATATACATGCCATTAACATGGAGTCCAGCATGCAGAAAGCCCTCAATAAATGGAGAGCTACCCTCATTTCTGAAAGCACAGATTAACACTACCTGGTTCTTAATCAGACAATATGGACCCTTTGTGCCTGCCTTTTTCTAGCCCTCTGCGTTGTTTCTGAGCTTCAACTGCATTGTTGCATGTAACAATAATTTGTTCCTTTTATTGATGTATAGATTTTTTGTTGTTCTTCACTTACCCAGTCATGTCTGACTCTTTGCGACTCCATGGACTGCAGCATTCCAGGCTTCCCTGTCCATCACCAACTCCCGGAGCTTGAACAAACTCATGTCCATTGAGTCAATGATATTGAACCATCTTATCCTCTGTCTCCCTTTCTCCTCCTGCCGTCAATCTTTCCCAGCATCAGGGTCTTTTCCAATGAGTCAGCTCTTCACTTCAAGTAGCTAAAGTATTGGAGCTTCAGCTTCAGCATCAGTCCTTCCAATGAATATTCAGAACAGATTTCCTTTATGATGGACTGGTTTGATCCCCTTGCTGTCCAAGGGACTCTCAAAAGCCTTCTCCAGCACCATGGTTCAAAAGCATCTTTTCTATTGCTACTGGGCATTCCAGTTGGCGGATATTACGAATGATGCTATTGTGAACATTCTAATTCTACCACATGCGTCTTGGGAATGTTATGACTTTCTGTTGAGCACATGCCTAGAAGTATAGTTGCTGAACCATAAGATTTGCATAAGAGCCAAACAGTTTCCCACCCAACAATATATGAGAGTTCCAGATGCTCTACATCAACAAGACTTAGTATTAATATTTGCTACCTTTTTCATTTCATTTATTCTGGTGAATATGTAGTTGTATCTCACTGTGGTTTTAGTCTGTAGTTCCCTGATGACTAATAAAGCTGAGCACATAGATCCAGCATTGAATCACTATTGACCTTAAGTTTTCAGAACGAAACCAATAGTGTAGTCTCAGACCCAGTTCCCAAGTGAGGACCAACCAGAGGCTACGGATAGATGTGGGGTTTTTTCTGAGAATTCCTTAAAGAAGCAACGCTAAGACAGGGAACTTGCCAACTTACCCTGCGGTCTGTAAATACCTGTGAAGTGGTTTTTTAGCTTCTTTATTTTGAGGGTGGAGGCTCCTGGGCCCCAGCATGTGTTGGAGGATGGAGTGCCACTTGCTACCTGCGCGGGCCCGCGCTCTGTCCCTGGTTCTGTGCCGTCAAAAGTAGTTCCTCCAGATCCCCATCCGCCTCAGGGTACCCAGCTCACTTACCTCTCAGATCTTAGCTCTTGCTCCCCGCTCTCTGGCGGGATTCCCTACTGATCTGAAAGGCTGTTGATTCACATTTTTAGGTGTGGAAACGCTAGGTGACTTCAGGAATTGTAGTTCTCCGTTTCATGCTGTGTGATTTACACTCCGGGCTCTGGACCTGGCTTACTCTCTGGCTTACTCAGGAAGAGGGCATGACCTCCTTCCCCAGCATGGTGACTCCACAGAGCTTCCTGTGAATATCCCCCTCAGATAAATCAGTGAAGCACCAGCAGGCCTCACTATTCCTCTGTTCTAGTGTGGCGAGGAGGACGGCTTCCCTCTTTTTTCTTTTCTTTCTGTAGATGTTGAATCTACAACATCAGACCTTTCTAGGAAACTAGACTTGTAAGCAATCAGATGTAAATGGTAGAAACTGAAGATCACAAGATATTACCCAGAATTGAGAACATTCTGCCCTGTCTTTCACAAGAGTATAAGAATGATAAAGTAAATTGCTCCGCAAAGAAAGGAAAGGAAAAACAAATGAGGTAGTGCTGCTTAATTATTTATGAGGCCTCGACAGCTGCTATATTTTCAAATGCTTCACTTTATCAAACCTCTTATGACAATTTCTTCTTGGCTCATAAGCTTATTTTGAAACTAAGCGCCTTATACAGAGATTGCATAAGAAATTAAAAACGTGAAATGCTGTAATCAGACAGTTTACCATACACTCAAAAGCATTTACTGATTACAAATAAATAACTGAATATGCCATCTTTTAAAAAAAAATTAGCTTCTAAAATGACTTTTGACTTTAATTTTGCATTCTTAGATTATGTCCAGTAGGAAGTATAATTCCTTCTACCCAGCATCCTTTGCAGAGAAGGCAATGGCACCCCACTCCAGTGCTCTTGCCTGGAAAATCCCATGGATGGCGGAGCCTGGTGGGCTGCAGTCCATGGGGTCGCGAAGAGTCGGACACGACTGAGCGACTTAGCAGCAGCAGCAGCAGCATCCTTTGAATAATTGTGATTTGAAATAAGTCAAATATCTCAGCTTGATTTCATTTACTGAAGTCTGCTAAACCATTTTCCCCTTTTAAACACCTTCAGTGTATGAAATTTAATGCATTTTTATATCCTCAATAAATGAAATAAGATTCTTTCAAAAATTATGATGTCTCTTTTAAACATCCAAACTATTCTAGTTTGTTTTTCATTACAGAAATAAAAGCATTTTAAAAAGAGATGCCAACCTCTATGAAAATGAAACCTTGTATATTCATGTTTGCACCAATCTCCTCTGAGTTTTGTGAAGAACACTAAACTGAAGACAGCACTCTGTGAAAACTGAGGGATAACCTAGTTCATCCTCCAGAGCGCTTTATCAGCCTTCTGTGACAATAAGCGTGTGGACTTCTGCACCTTAAAATCGACTGATTCCTTTCGTGACTGCCAGGAGCCTGAACCCTGACTTCCACCCATCGATACCTGTGTGAAGATTGATCTCCATTCATCTTTAAGACCATCGATGAACCAATCAGGACGTTTGAAAGCAAAGGAAAACTGACACAGTCTTAGCAAAAGAGAATTAGGTGTTGAAAGCAAATCACCAAGAGGCAAGACTCAGTTTGCTGTTTACTGTCAGAACAAATGTGATCGGCCCCTTAAGAGGAAGCAATGAACAGCACGTGCATCGACGAGCAGCATGACTTGGATCACTACTTGTTCCCAGCGGTTTACGTCTTCGTGGTGATCGTCAGCATTCCAGCCAACGTCGGTTCTCTGTGTGTGTCTTTTCTGCAGGCGAAGCAAGAAAACGAACTAGGCATTTACCTCTTCAGCTTATCCCTCTCGGACCTGCTGTATGCCTCAACGCTCCCTCTGTGGATCAATTACACCTGGAATAGAGACAACTGGACGCTCTCCCCCGCCCTCTGCAAAGGGAGCGCTTTTCTCATGTACCTCAACTTCTATAGCAGCACGGCTTTCCTCACCTGCATCGCGCTCGATCGCTACTTGGCAGTGGTCTACCCTCTGCGGTTCTTCTTCCTAAGGTCGAGAAGATGTGCGTTCATGGTCAGCCTTGCCATCTGGATTTTGGAAACCATCCTCAACGCGGTTATTCTGTGGGAAGATGAAACAGCTGTCGAATATTGTGATGCCAAGAAGTCTAACTTTACTTTATGCTATGACAAATATCCTTTGGAGAACTGGCAAATCAGGTTTAACTTTGCTAGGACGTGTATAGGTTATATGATACCTTTGGTCATTATAATGACTTGCAACAAGAAAGTTTACCAAGCTGTGCGGCAAAATCAAGCCACGGAAAACAGGGAAAAGAAGAGAATCATAAAACTACTGATCAGTATCACGTTGACTTTTATCTTGTGTTTTACCCCCTTTCATGTGATGTTGCTGATTCGCAGCATTTTGGAGCACAACATGAACTTAAAAGAACAAATGTTTGACCATTCCAAGTCTGGGAAGCAGAGTTATAAGATCTATAGAATCACAGTTGCATTAACAAGTTTAAATTGTGTTGCTGACCCAATCCTCTACTGCTTCATAACTGAGACAGGAAGATCAGATATGTGGAATATATTAAAGTTCTTTACTGGGAGGCTTAATAAATCAAAAAGACAAAGAAAACGTGTCCTTTCTGTATCTACCAAAGATACTATAGAATTAGACATTCTGCAATAGAACCAAGGTGTATGTTTTTTAAAGATATGTGATATTATGCCATCAAGATTATGTTTTGCAAAGGAAACCCAAACATGAAAGAAGACAGACTGTTCCCATTGAGGGACAATTTTAATCCTCATGGAAACATTTGAACAGTGCGTTGTATAGCTCCCTGACTTGTATTAAGTGAGAATTAAATAAAATTGAATATTTTCCTAATGACTCGGGGTCATTGTTGCTCATGGCAGTTGTTTTTGTACCTGTGCTCTGATCTCTCAGGAAGTCATAGGCTCCATGGGACCGTGTGTTTTTAAAGCGGTAACCATGGTGTATGTCATGGTGATTTTCTCACTCCTATGGATTTCAGACAATCACTCCTCCCAGGCACATGGACCTGTCTCCAACACCACCTACTAAATCCTGCTTCTCTTTGTCTCATTAGTTGACAAATATTTATCGAGCCCACGCTATGTACTAGGTTTTGTGTTAAGTAGTGAGGTTACAAAAGAAAGGATCTAATAAGCTTTTTGACCTTATACAGTCACAAAGACACTAGCTTGTAAGAGCTCTTTATAAAAGTAAATTGTCTCTGAGTGAGAGTCTGAAGGCCTCATCCACGATATAAAGGATATGAGCCTTGTAAAATTTCTTTCAGCTACTCAGAGAATTTTTTACCTTCTTTAAAATCATCATTTTTTAAATGATGATTTTAAAAAAGTTTGGTTCTTTCAAAATTTGCTGTTGAGTACAGTATGCTTGTATAGGCTTCCCAGGGGGTGCTAGTGGTAAAGAACCCTCCTGCCGAAGCAGGAGACGCAAGGGATGCAGGTTTGATCCCTGGGTCAGGAAGATTCCCTGGAGAAAGGCATGGCAACCCACTCCAGTATTCTTGCCTGGAGAATTCCATGGACAGAGGAGCCTGGTGGGCCACAGTCCCTGGGGTCACACAGAGTTGGACACGACTGAAGCAACTTAGCAAGCATGTACACAGTATGGCTGAAATTACCAGAAGTTTCCTGTCTAGACCGAAAGATACACTGTGGACAAAAAAAGACATTTATCATACTAAATCTTACATGCAGAGACTTCTTTGGGGGTTTAGAGTATTTAGAAAATCTTGATATATTTTTTCATATTTATATTTTCTCGTTATACAAATTACCAAGTTTTAAGTAGTATCAGGTAAACATTTTTCTTAACTGAATTGTTTTTTAAGAATTTTAAACATTTTCTTATCCTATTCTTGCCTCTTCCTTCTCTGTCGTATCTGTTTCTTCTAGTACCCAAAATTGATCAGCTAGCAAATATCTTGGTATCATTTGTGTCTTCACATTAGAAAAAAAAATCCAATAACAAAAAGACTAATAATTAACTTCTAGATATACACTGAAAAAAAAGCCAGTTAGTGCCCAAACTGACTCCATCTTCTGTTAAAGTTGTCCATGATCATTTGGGTGCACAAGAGGAAACCACCTTGCTTTGGGGCCCCAGTTGCTTCCTCTGATCTTTGCACTTTTCTGATCAGAAAGTTTCTAGAAAACTAGGAGATTGTTTCAGGGCACCCTGAGATACATCTATGTATGCTTAAAGGTCAAAGATACATCAATGAAATGAAGAATAATTAAAAGAGTTTGGGTTGCTTCATTCATTCTTGATAAATTATTGACAGCCCAAACATTGAATATATGTTAAAGTAAAAGATCCGAAAATTCTTGCCCACATTTGGAAACTCAGACATAGGTTGTCTTGTCCAAGATCACACAGCTCCTTGGAAGCAGCTGTTAACCAGTTGCTAAGTCGTGTCCAACTCTGCGATCCCAGGAACTGCAGCACACCAGGCTGTCCTTCACTCTCTGCTGGAGTCTGCTCAAACTCATGTCCATTGAGTCAGTGATGTCATCTGACAATCTCATCCTCTGTCGTCCCCTTCTCCTCCTGCCCTCAGTCTTTTCCTGAGTCAGGGTCTTTCCCAATGAGTCGACTCTTCACATCAGGTGGCCAAAGTATCGGAGCTTCAGCTTCAGCATCAGTCCTTCCAATGAATATTCAGGGTTGATTTCCTTGAGGATTGACTGGTTTGATCTCCTTGCTGTCCAGAGTCCTGTCTTAAAGCCCTAGAACCCCACATTCACTTCAGTTGCTTTCCCTCCTTTGTGTTTTATTAAAAACATACCATTTCATTTTTCTTCTTTATTTTTATAGAAGTATAGTTGATTTACAATGTTATTAATTCCTATTGTCCAGCAAAGTGATTCTGTAATACTTGTAAATATATATACACTATTTTTCAAACATTCTTCTTTATTATGGTTTATCATGGCATGTTTTAAATTGGAGAATAATTGCTTTACGATGTTGTGTTAGTTTCTGCTGAAAGACAGTGTGAATCAGACATACATATACCCCCTCCCTCTATACCTACCATATCTTTCCTTAGGGATGCAAAAGACACATACACATGGGGAGGAGTTCAGGATAGTCATTGGATTTAGACCAGAATAAGGAGGAAAAGGAGAGCTATTTCATGAATCAATACCTCCAGAAATAAATCATACAGATAGTATAATTAATTATACTTAATTACAGATAGTAATTAAGCTGATCTGTTAAAGAGAACTAATTAGAAATTGACCTCAGTTGGTTAAATCAAGAGATAGGGCCAATAAAAATTTGTGGCCCTCTTAGAATATTCTACTTAATGATTAATAACAAAACCACTAATTTAACATGTTATAAGTTCCAAAGTAAATCAGGCTGTCAAAACCTTTGAGCAGGGCCAACCATGGAGAACACATGTTAAGCAGTTGCTCATATGATTTAGGGCAAAGTCCTCTAGATATCTGTGGCTCGGCTGGTAAAGAATCTGCCTGCAATGCGGGTGACTGGGTTCAATTCCTGGGTTGGGAAGATCCCCTGGACAAGGGCACAGCCACCCAGTCCAGTATTCTGGCCTGGAGAATTCCACCGCCTGTATAGTCCCTGGGGTCACAAAGAGTCAATCATGACTGAGCGACTTTCACTCACTCATCTCTCGATATAACCTAAAGTTATCTACAATCCCAACATTGGGAAGTTTATCCTTTAGTTTTGAAAGACTTTCTAGTTTCCTGGTTAAAGTTCCCAGTTTAACTAAAAGTACTTCTGGAAGGAATAAAACCTTGTAGCTATTATTACCTGGGACCTTGTTGTCAGAAGAATTAGATTAGAACTCTAGCAATTATCCACTTATGTGCCATTTGACCTCAGAAAATGTTTCTGCTCTCCCTAAGGCTCAGTATCTACAAACAGCAAGGACAGTATAGGAACACTTGCTTTTAAAGTAGATGTGAAGACACTTTGAAATTGTGATGAGATTTCTAAATGTTTACTATTATCAGTTATTCGCATCTTCCCTGATAGCTCAGCTGGTACAGAATCCACTAGCAATGCAGGAGACCCTGGTTTGATTCCTGGGTCGGAAGTGTCACTGGAGAAGGGATAGACGGCCCACTCCGGTATTCTGGCCTGGAGAATTCCATGGACTATATGGTCCACGGGGTCGGCCTCAAAGAGTTGGGCATGACTGAATGACTTTCACTTTCACTTTCATTCTCATCTTCATCAGGATTAGTGCACCCAAGTGATGGGATACCCAACAATGGAAACAGTGACAGATTTTATTTTCTTGGGCTCCAAAATCACTGCAGATGGTGACTGTAGCCATGAAATTAAAAGACGCTTGCTCCTTGGAAGAAAAGCTATGCCCATCCTAGACAGTATATTACAAAGCAGAGACATTACTCTGCCAACAAATGTCCATCTAGTCAAAACTATGGTTTTTCCAGTAGTCAGGTATGGATGTGAGAGTTGGACTGTAAAGAAAACTGAGCACAGAAGGATTGATGCTTTTGAACTGTGGTGTTGGAGAAGGCTCTTGAGAGTCCCTTGGACTGCAAGGAGATCCAACCAGTCCATCCTAAAGGAAATCAGTCCAGAATATTCATTGGAAGGACTGATGCTGAAGCTGAAGCTCCAATACTTTGGTCACCTGATGCGAAGAACTGACTCATTTGAAAAGACCCTGGTGCTGGGACAGATTGAAGGCAGGAGGAGAAGGGGACAACAGAAGATGAGATAGTTGGATGACATCACTGACTCGATGGACATGAGTTTGACCAAGCTCCGGGAGCTGGTGATGGACAGGGAAGCCTGGCGTGCTGCAGTCCATAGGTTGCAAAGGGCCAGACACGATTGAGCAACTGAACTGAAATGAACTGACCCAAGAGATCGTCCCTGGAGGGACTCTGGGGGTAGGAACATAGCAACATGAGCTGGTAAGGGCTGGATCCCACACACCATGGCTGTGGCTACTTCCTCCAGATGGGTCAACAAGTCCATTATGATAACTGAAGAGCCTTCATTGTTGGTTCCACATTCTCAATAGAGCCTGCTTCTGGGAGTTTCTGGGGCTTCCCTGGTGGCTTAGAGGGTAAAGCCTCCGCCCGCAACGCAGGAGACCCAGGTTCAATCCCTGAGTCGGGAAGATTCCCCTGGAGAAGGAAATGGCAATCCACTCCAGTACTCTTGCCTGGAAAATCCCATGGACGGAAGACCCTGGGAGGCTGCAGTCCACGGGATCCCGAAGAGTCAGACACGACTGAGGGGCTTCACGTTCACTTTCTAGGAGTTTACAACTTCGAGGAGATGCAGCTTATGGTCATTACTATAAACAGACAGGCAGAGTCCAGTACATCTTTTACATTTGTTTCCTTTTCAAAAATACTATTTTTTTTTAATTTGAATGAACTCAATTAGGCATCTTGGATAGGCTAGTAAAGAGACTGAGAACAGGCTTTTTTAAATCTCCATTTTTTCCCTCCCTAGTCTGGGGCAAGCTTCACAGGTGATGTCGAAGTGCTATTCGCTTAGTCGTGTCTGACTCTTGGTGACCCCATGGACTGCAGCCCACCAGGCTCCTCTGTCCATGGGATTCTCCAGGCAAGAGTACTGGAGTGGGCTGCCATTGCCTTCTCCAGGGATCTTCTTGACCCAAGGATCAAACATGGGTCTCCTGCATCACAGGCAGATGCTTTACTATCTGAGCCACCACAGGTGAAGAACAAGTTAAAAGACATAAAAAATGACCACCTCGTTTTGTTCAAATTACATACCATCACCTCCCCAGGAGCATGCTGAGAAAAT